CACACACATACAAACACACACAGCATGTGGATAGAGTTTTGATTAACAAATGTACATTTTGTTTTGTATGTAAAGTATTTGTATTAATAGAAAAGGATAAGCCAAACTGCTGCTTTGCTACATGTCCAACAACATCTGATTGCCAACCCTGTCCCTTTGAACTGATACTTAATAATTTAGACTATTTCAGGTTTCAGTGGGCTGTGAATACTGGGACATAGAGAAATTATGTATTTATGTATGTAAACAGAACCGAAGATATTATCTTAGCTAATCAAGAAAGGTGTCTTTCTCACTTTAAAGGAGTCTGTATGCACTTCTCATTGACCTCACACCTCAAGGAACTCCTTTAATCACTTCACAGAAATCAGATACTGTCTTCAATACACTGCATGTTCACAAAGTACAAAATAATATGGTGAATGTGTGTTTTTAGGTTTTGTCTCAATTAAAGATGACATCGTCTTTGTTTGTATTTGTGTGCATCTCAGACCTGGGCATCCAATGGATATGACTTGTAACAAGCGTCCACTAAGACTCTAGTGTATGTAAAACTCCTAAATGTTTCAATATGGTGCCTACATCTTTGCAGGGCAGTTTCTAATAATGCAACCTGTCTCTTTAAAAGCACAAAATAAAAGTTGAGTGTTGCGTGGGAGTCTATGAATGAGTTAGTGTTGGATTAGTGTTTTTCATACAGCTCTGCCTCTTTTTTTACATGCATCAATGGGCTAAATTATCCCCTAGACAAACATCAGTGCACAAGAAGCACAGAAAACTACCATTTGTTGACGGTCTGAAAAGAGATGAGCTTAACATAAAGGCAAACAAAATACACCACAGTCTGTTTGCTTTTACTTTATGTAAAAGTCTGCTCAAAAACAAGATTATTTATCCCTGTTTGCTTGTATAATATAAGCCCCATAAAGGCCTGTGCTGAGTCTTTTGAAATACTGAATACAGTTTGGTGTGCAGAGAACACCATTAACCATGAACCAGTACATTTCCGCTTTTTTAAATAGGCTGAATAGACAATGATGTTCTGCACTTACTTAGAGAATCCAACCCAGCATCGTCTCCACCAATCACTGCTGAAAACCCGCCTCCACACTGTGCCAAGATAAAAGCTGAGACAACATCTTGTTGTATTGTAAGTATCATGTCAGTGCTTGTGAAATTGTTCCCTTAGCAAACCATCAAGGCAGTAGTGGTCCACACTAAGAATTTAGGGCTTATCGTCTGGGCTATATAGTACTCATTATAGTGGGCTTAAAATGGTTGTCCTCATGTCAGTTTACTTTTTCATTCATTTCATTATAGGCCACTTTAGCTAAATTCATCTTTAAACATTTCACCTCACAGTGAGTCTATCATTAGTTGAAGGTAGGTCAGGCGTTTCCCTCTGATCTTTACTTTTTCATGATTCAGGCCACAGACTGCGGTAACCTGATTCTCAGCTCAGGTAAGCAGCTTCATGTAATGAACAGGCAGAAGCAGAAGAGGGCAGAAGAGACAAACTAATCACATCTTTCAAACGTGGTCATTTTTTTCTATGGTTTGTTTCTTTTGTACTCGATCAAAACAGAAAATGTATTAATTATTAATAACACTGTCTTTCTGTCCTCTGGTCAAAATCTTCTGAAGATGAAGGGTAATTGTCATTTCTAAACTCTTAAATTACTTACATACACAAAAAGTGATGCATGATGTGAACTAATTACTATCTTTTTTTTACAATATGTAGGCAACATGATGTGACATTTAACATCACTCAATTATTGTTCTAACACTGACAAGAGAGAAGCTCTTATGTTTCCGTAAAGTACGACACCAGTGAAAAAAGATTCATAGAAGCTCAGTTTCTGCAGATTATTTTCTTGATTAGATTAGATTAGAGTCCAAGGTGACATCTTCAGATGCTTTCTTTTATCCAACTAACAGACCAAACCCCTTAGATATTCAGTTTACTATCATATAGAACAAAGAAAAGTAGTAAGCATGTGGAGCATTTTTACTTGAAAAATTAACTAAACGATTAGTTGATTATCAAAGTAGTTAGTCAATTATCGACTTCGGTGTATGGCAAATAAAAAAACATTTTCTTGGGTTACTGATGGATTACACTTGGCTGATTTAAAAGGAGCTACGTGGTGAGTGGTAAGTCTGCAAACTACTTTTTACTGAAATATAAAGTCACTTTCAGAAATCCAGCCTATAGCTTTAAACAACATACTGATGGCACTAAATGAAAAGAAATCCTATAAAATGACTGTATAAACACCCAGTTCTTGCTTATGTGTACTGGCACAACACGCACACACACACACACACACACTTAGCCATGCCATATGGAGCCAAACAGCATCAAGTGTCATGCCTGCTCCACACAATACACACCCAGTCGACCGTACCTTTGTTTCTTCTTTTTCTCCACAATGTTATCCCTCCATCATTCTTCTCCTCTTCAGGTTATTCCAAAGCAGAATCTCTCCATCCACGATTCACTCTGGCGAGACATCTTTAAGGCATCTTTAAGGCCAGCAGTGTCAACTCACAGCCCCTGTCTCATTCCCTCTCTCGTAAAGCCTCCCACTCAGTCCCCCTGTCCTAGACCAAAGAGATGCTTGTGAATATTTAATGGCGCTATTGTGCTTGTGTGTGTGCGAGTGAATGGGGAGCATTGGCTGGGAGTCCATCATTTCTGGTCAGCTTGCCTTGGAGCGTTGGAGAAGGCGACACAAACAGCTGGATTGCAGGGATGGAGGCAGTGGGGAGGGGTCAGAGGTGACTGACCCTCATGCTCACCTGAGGGACTCCTGTCACAAAAACAACATTGTCTCACACTGAGGGCAAATAGTTATACAGTTAAACGTATTTATACTTGGTGTTTACTGTTATCTACAGTACAAAATTCCTGTTCATGAGGGGGAGTTTTTGCTTGGACATTTGACTTAGCCAACCTGAGTGACCTTATAGAAGATATAGGTTGGAGCTAGCCCATTTAATGCTTTGTAGGTAAACAGTAACATCTTTTTTTTAATCTATTCTATTTCTTTGTTTAGCTTTTATTGGATAGGACAGCTTAAGACAGATAGGAAAAGCTGAGAGAGAGAGGGGACAACATGCAGCCAAGGGCCTTGGGTTGGAATCATTCAACTGAGGCCGTAAGGCCTTGGTACATGGGGCACACTCTCTGGTAACAAGTAAAATCTTAAAATCCATTCTAAAACGTACAGTAAGCCAGTGAAGGGAGGCCAGGATGGGGGAATGTGCTCTCACTTAAAAGAAGAGGAGGACTTTATAGTTGTCAAGTCAGGTTGAGGTAAAAACATGCATAACCCTTTCAAAATCAATAAAAGATTTTAAAAAAAGATTGGACCATGGATAAAATCCTCAGTTACCTCCCTTGGTAACTGATGAAAACTGAAAACAGGAACAATGAGTGTAACACATCCTGCCGGAATGAAAATGCCATTTCAGATTCTTCTGGACTGAGACACAGTTTAATCAATAATGTTGTATCAATGTATTTTAGCCCAGCTAACTTTAGGTGCTCAATAAACTTTGAAGTTCACTGAACACACAGTTAAGCTGTATTTATTGACAGCTACCTATCTTGGAGGGTACTGTTGAAATTAATAGTGGTGTAATGTTCTGTGAAACTGTGAAATTGCTTGGTTTTTGTTGTAAATACGGTATTGTCGCTTTAAATAACTTCGAATTACTCTACTATCTTTTTCTTACTATTATTTACTACCTGTTATTCTGATTGCTCTGATTAGTACGACATTGACAAGGTGCTGCTATGTATTACGGTGGTAGTAAATGCAGTAGCCCTGACAGTCCATTCTGCATGATGATTCATTTAATGTCTCTTACTTTAAATATATTTAGCAAATAGTACTCTACTGGTTCTTTTGCTTTACTGACCTTTTGTATACACCGTGCATTACACTGTGGTACTTCTACAGAAACAGGTGGTTGTTAGTTCAGAGTAGTACTTAAGAAAAGAGTACCAAAGTTGCTTGTGAAAATCCTTGCTACTGACAGTCAACACTCAAGTTTTTAATTAAATGCCCTCAGTTTAAAGCGGAAAGAAAAGCTCCCGCACTTCCGCTGTCGGAACTTGACAGTGTGACACCGAGCGGAAGTAAACAACCCAGTCGCTAGCAGTGTTATATGGTGTTAGCAGCTTCGTGTCGGTGCTGACTGAGCTGCAGACTGTGTTGTTTCCGCAGTGCAGCTGATGAGCTCCTTTGTAATTGAACCACAATGTCTTCAGTGGAGTGTCTGAGAGCGTTGGTGAAGCAGCGACTAACTGCGGCTGCTGAAGAGATATTCGGAGTTTTTACTAAAACTATCGTCGAGTATCAGGAAGAGATCGACCGTCAGCGCAGACTGCTGGACCTCGTTTGGAAACCTCAAATAAAGTTACACAGGATAGGTGTGTGCGGCTTTATTACTTTAATAACGTGATATAGAAGTTGTTCAGTCACTGTTACTAATTGGCTCGCATGTCTGCATTTGTTCACCCCCCCCAGTAGTAACGCCGTTATATCTATACGATGATGATGATCGATACGGATTTTTTTCTTCTGCCAATACGTTAACCGATCATTAGCTGCTTCTCTTGGCCAATATCGATAAGATTACCCATCAGTTCCGATTTGTGTCTTCTAAAAATAAGTTAATAACCAGTAGTTTCTACACACCGGGTGGTAAGAAAGGCTTTAGCTGTAGCTACAAGTGAGCAATTGATGATTTCATATTTAATTTCATTGTGTTTGTATATAACATAAGTTGACTCAGATAGAGCAGACCGTACTCCATATAAGATTATTTACGGAGACCCAAATGTTTCCACCATGAGCAAACGCTTGGCAATGGCGGAGAGGAAAAACTTCCTTTTATGAGGCAGCAGCCTGGAGCAGAGCCCGGCTCTAGGTGGGTGGTCGTCTGCCGTTGGGGTTAGAGAGGGGGGAGAGAGGGGGAGAGAGAGGGGAGAGAGGGGGGAGTGTGTGGGTGGTACAGGGAGAAGGACAAAGACAGAGACAGACGTGCACAGCAACAACTCTACTGGTAGAAATGACTAATAATGATGATGGCGACCATGACAACGACAACAATAGCCACAATGATGGGGAATTAATGAATAATATTAATATCAGTAAAATCAGAAATGTCTTAAGCCTACTCGTACATGTGGAGAGGGTGTCTGCCTCCTGAACCCAAACCACAAGTAGCCCTGCATTCA